GGAGGATGTTTATTTTTCCAAATATTAAGATAGTGTCCTGTTTGTCTATTCTATCGACATCTGCTCTGTAATACACAATGATAGAAGATCAAAGTTTTAATTGTGCAAGTAAAAGAATATATTAATAACATTCTTTCTGTCCTGCAGCAACAGAGATAAACTTAAAAAAAACCTCTAACAGTTAAGAGAACAGGATATTTATATAAAGATGTCCTAACAAAAGAAAAGCATGCAAAACTACCTCTAGCAGATAAACAAACTAGGCTCCCTGTTTGCAGACTGTTCCCGATCAAGCTCAGCCCTCAGAGATCCCCTCCCTCCCTCAGTCAACAGGGACAACATATCTCAGCTGGGTTTCACATTTTTATACCAACCCTTCTCAGCATCCTTTGTTCACTGACCCTTTAAATTCAGGAAAATGCAGCAGGCATGCCTTTAGATTCCCTCTCCTAGGCAGTAAGTCATTTAAGAAGGGATTTTTTTGTTGGTCTTTTTTTCTGCTAACTCCTTCATCTGCATAGGCTGCACTGCGTATCCTCCATACCCCTTTTGATATACACATTGTAACAGGACGCTAGTTCTACAGCATACATACAACAAACAGTACCTCCTCCTGAAGAGACATTATTACTTCTTGGGTTTCTGAGATTGGGAAGAGCCTGAATTTGTTGCCTGTTTGTCACACTGCTGCCACTCATTAATGCAACAGCATACTTTGAACTAGCTGTTCTTCTTCTCCCCAAAATGAATATAGCATGGAGTGCTCTCTCCCTCCCAAGACAGCAGTAGCTGCCTTTATCCACTTAGGGCTCCAACTTCCATACACTGAAGAGAAAAAAAAACAAACAAGAAAACCCCAAACCAACCCAGAACTGTACTAACTTAAAAAACTAGGGCTCCCAAAAGTGATGACTAGGCTACCTCACTGAGGGTAAGATCAATAGCATGCTGTACAAGAGTGGGTTCAGATTTATCAGTAGTTTTCTTTCAATTTCAGAGCTCCGAGACGAGTTCTTTTGTCAAGTAAAGCATCATTACCACCTCTACCTGAATGGAGGCCACCACAAGCAGAGAGCCCAAATTGTCTCAGAAAAGTCTATGAGGCAACACAGAAGACAAGCTTATTCAGGGCTACCTGCACAGCAAAGACTGATGTCTGAAAGCGATTCTCGGTCTCCTTTAAAGACATCTGTGAACTACAAAGAGCCAGTCATCCTCCATCCTCTTTGTCTTTAAGGAAGCGTTTAATATTCATTTTAGCTCCTTTTGAATCTACTTCTGGGCTAGGGCCCAGTCCATCTGCAATATTTTTAAAAGTGACAAATTAGATTAAAAACACACAGAACACCCACTCAGTTCTTCCAAATTATGGTAACTCACAACAGAAGGGACACTACAGTTAACCGTGGCACTGCTTGTGCGAAGCTGCAACCTGCACACAGACACACAGAGGGTGAAGTCAGTCATTGTACAGCGAGTTATTGTACACAGGGAAACTGGACAAGGCACTTCCTTTTCTTTTGTGTTGTCTTAAAGGATGTTATTATGAATGAGAAGACATCTGCTAGAGTCCTGTAACATTAATGGTAATGGAAAAGCTCCAACGAGAACTCAGGGGTTTCTCTCTTTTTCCCATGAACTGAACATTATGGAATTTTAACAGATGTTCTACTTGGTCATAGTTAATAAAATGAATTATGCAGGAATTAAAAATCTGTCTCCATTTGCTTATATAAGATCTCAGCAGCAGAACTACATTCCTATTAAGAAATTCTAGAGGATTTACAGTGGATTTATAGTCTGCTCCTGTCTTGTTATAAGATAGCTGGAGATTTTACAAATGAACTTCTCTCTGTTGTGGAAAACATGAATAAATTTACCTGTTTATTGACTGTTCTTAGTAGCATGATCCAGTTTCCACACCAATGCACACTGGTACACTACCACCATAGGAAAGGACAATTCTCACTTAGATTTGCTTTGGAAGTGACATCATGGGAATTCCACATCATTTCACAGCCTCCAATTTCTGCCATCTATTCAAAATCTCATTCAGCAACCTAATAACCATACTCCCACTTTATGCTTTATGACAAAAGCTTTCCTCTTGGAGCATGGATGTCTCTTTTGGGCTACTACTGCCAACAGAATGATGCACTGTACCTCGCTTCCCTTTCGATTTTAGGATTAGTTCAGTATAACTACATCAAAGGAAGATGTAAAGACCAAAATGTAATGGAGATGTGAGAGAAGAGGCACCAAAAAGGAGGTAGGTAGAAGTCATAGCCAAAACTTCCAAGCATTGAGGTTCACTCAAAGTTATTTCCAAAAGCATTACATATTTAGCCATCGTCTTTCTCTTCTAATATTCATCTGTACAGAAAGTATTCTGATGAGAAGATAAAGGGGATAAGTGAAAGACTGAGAATCAAAAATGAAGGATGAAACAACTACCTTGCACCAAAACAGAAGCAGCAGCAGCAGATTACATCGAGCAGAATAAGGCTGTCTTGAAAAGATCTACTATGCTATAGTAAAAAGATGAGGTTTTAACATTGTACTCCCTTTATAAACAGACTCCTTGTCACTTAAGCCCAAGCAATTGGCAAGCATATCTCTGTCCAGGCACTGAAATCTGCTTTATGTAATATGCAAAAATTTATCCTGATGCAACAACTAAAATTAACCTTCCTTAAATTCTGGCTCAATAATTTTGCCAGCGCAAGAATATCATCATCAGAAAGGCATCAATATTCCTGCCTCTTTCAATTATTATGTTTTAAATGAAAAATCATGCATTGAAACCCCTCTATCCAAAAATCCCACTCCATGGTAACTAAACAAAGGGTTTTGTGTAAGTAAAGAACCAAAGCATGTAAAGAAACCTTTATACTTATAAAAGTCAGCTGGAATTAAACATCAGTCTATATGTGCTATGCAGCTACCTGGATTTGTCTGATAATGAATTAATATAGATTTTTATCTGAAAATAAAGACTTTCCCTAAAGGAAGAAGTGTACTTAAAGAGAAGGGAAAATACCAAGATTAAATGTCAGGCTTACAACAGTTCCAGCTGAAGGTTCAATACACTGTTCTTATTTGAGTGGACATTGCTTTACAATATTGAGTGTCAGAAAAATGCAACAGTCTTAACAGTGTTAAATTCAAAGAATCTTTTTTTTTTTTTTAAACATCACCTATGATTTGTTTCATTTTGAAAAGAAAGCACATTTCATTTGGTAATCATTTATTTCTCATTCTATTGGACAGATTCTCCCAAAAAGCAATACTTCAACTGAAATCAGTTCTGAAGGATCTTTTATGAGTATACATAATGGAGAGGACCCCCATTAAATTTCCAACAAAGTGCTGCCATTTTGAGTAAACAAAGTTATCTCAGCGGGGTCACACACTATGCCATGAATATGGTCTGCAAATTAATTACCACCCTGACATATGTCAAAACAAATTTTAAGGAGAATAGCACCCAGTAATAACCATGTGTTTTATCTACCTGTTAGTATGCAAAATCTGTATTCAATGCGATCTAAATTTATTCATTTATTCAGAACCCCTCAGAGAAATCAAAATGATTCGTTGGCCTTTTTTGCCTGTCTCCAAATGAAATCTGAGTGAATAACATGTGTTTAGTGAGCCAGAAAATAAGTACAGCACGAAGCTATGGTGGGGGTTACGTTTCAGAAAAGCAGGTGTCATCTCTGCACAAATAACTAATTTTTTAAACACTCAAAACTGCTAAAATAGACTGCAGTGCATTACCATTTGTCAGCACTTTAGGTACACTAAATTTGGTATTTCTTATTTTAGGCAATATCTATCTTTACTCCGTAATTGTAACAAGAGCTGGCTAACATAACTGTTCTAAAAACAGTTTTCAGCATGAAGAAAGGCTTTTAAAAGCAAAGCTATTGAATGAAGGGTAAAAAAGCCTCTGCAACTGGCTTCATTATCAATGGCAACACAACCAACAGATCTGATCCTGTGTTTAAAAAACAAAAGCAGCAAAGATCCAAACCTAGTTTACTCAGTTGAGTTATATAAGGAGAGGACAAACCCACACATATCACATTGAACACAGTACGTAAAGAACCCTTCCTGGACAACAGCTGTTACATTTTCATAGGAATAGAGCCTCGTCTCTTATTTGAAGTACTCATGGTGCAACTTATGCTTTGTCAAAAGATGACCTCCTGGGATCTGATTCTAAAACAGTTTTAGACTGGGAGTTCATCAGTATGTTTTTCTACTTCTTTTATAATCTGCCTTCGGTTCACACAGCGTATCAAACACTTCCATGACACTAATCCTGTAATTCACAGTACGTTTATGAAGAGATTTTAGTTTAGGAACTATTTTCTGGCAAGCCGGCCAAAATATTTTTAGCTCCAGTTTTTTTCCCCGACAGTGAAGTACTTCTGATTTAGAGTTAAGTAATGCCATATCATGTCTACAGACTGGATGACTAAATGCATTTCTTTCACACATAAAAAGAGAGCGAGCAAGCACAACCGTCCCTATATACAGATGACAGATAATCTCTTGGCATCTGCTGACAAATATATTTAAAGAAAGCCTAAATCTGTCTGTGCCAAACTTGGCCTGATGCCACCAGTTCACCATTGTTGGCATACATACTTCACATGATGCAATCACAAGACCTGAGGAAGTTTCCAGTACTTTATTTTATGGTTTTCATCATGTTAACATATACATTTCCATCTTTTTACAATTTAGCAGCAACAGAACTGAAAGACAGGATGGTAGATGACTTTCTGCATGTATCACAGTTTTCTCAGTGCACATTATCAGTATTCTATTTAAATTACAGACTAGTAACTTAGCTAGAATGAAATATGCTAGGATTTAGAGCTTATGGTTAGAGCAATTGATCTCAGTTGTACTACTATCTCTTATTAGAAAACAAAGTGAGGCAAAAGAATCAATTAAAAAAAAAAGTGAGAGAAAGACAAGTGTTTTACCTCTCTTAATACTGTGCTTTTATAACCCCGATAAAGTCCTTGAATACCCTGTAAACCAATAAAAGAAAGCATCAGCTATAGGGAATTAGTTTGCCAAAGACCACAATTTATCGGTGATTACGAGGCAAGCATTACAGCCTTACTGAGTGTCAGACCTGAACTTCTTGCAAATTGACTACATTGATTATAACATTGTATACTGTATTCCATGATTTACAAGCCGGAGGGTTTTATTTCAAAGATCATTTAACCACTGTTCAGACTAATCAGTTATAGAGAAGAAAATATACCTTACAGCAAGAAGGCACAGAAACACATTACTTCAAATTCTACTTGCCCAATATTTTGGTCTAGAAGTATCCACTATCCCATAAATATTTTGAAACTACTGCTCTTCTGTTTAAATAGCCCATGCAAAATGAACCCATAAGATGACAGCTTCCTTTGTCCACCTTTTTAGCCTTGATTCAGAGCTTTTATCAAGACAAATATTTTGTAGTTTTAACCAGCTGAAAACATTCAAAACAATTAAAATTTGATTTTATAGAGTATATAAAATTATGTTTAATATCTTATAGGACAATATATTCCAGACTTTGTCAAGTCTTACTGTTCTCTGGCCAGCTACAAAGAAGGGGAAAAACACATGGTTTTGAGAACACCAGCTTTTAGAGCAGAATGACTAAGTCACAGAAGGAAGTTCCAACAACCCTCTTACGCAGGGTTATCACAATAGTTTTAATTTACAAGCAAATAAAAAAGAAGTGGATCATTTAGAGGTCATATTTATGTCTTCTTTTTCCTGGCTTTTACACACAGAAATGTATATAATATTTTTCCCCACAGTGTTTTCAGGAGACACTTTTCTCTTATGGAATACAACTTGAAAAACACCCCTTGTGAGACTCAGTAAAAACAGTGGTGAACAGGTTTTTACAGGAAGGAACAGCATAACCACAATAAAGATTACAAAAGACCTTATTTTTCAAAAGCTACCAATACTGGATGAGCACTCATTTCCAGAGCTCCTACAGAGCCTCCCTGAAATGGTGCCTTTAGGACATCCCCTCCAATGCCTCCTTCAAAAGTTGGAAACCATTCAACAAACTCTAGATACAGAGACTCAATGTTTTGTTGTCCCAGAGAAGGACTGTTTGCATAAATACAGCAGAGCTTTGGAAACTGGAAAGCTAAATCCTTTTCTTCTTTTTTTTAAATGTAGGTATCCCATATAAAAGGTGGAGAAAAAAGTTTAGAGTGTGCATGTAAGTGCATGCACATGGGAGAGGTGGGGGCTTGGTTTCCTTAAGTATAACATGCCAATCGCTTTTAACAACAGAATAATAGATGGGAAAGTGCTGGGAGAGCACAGAACTGGAATAAAGTTGTAGGAATGCTTCTGGACATGTATGGCACTGAGTGGGAAGAATGAAGCAACTTCTTTGAAATTTTGTTCTGAACTCACCTCATGATACAAGGTGTGGGAGAGAATCCGGAGGGTACTTGAGGAAGGAGAAACCTGGGCCCTTTGCTTGACAACCTCAGATGGAACCCGTATGAGGCATGCAACCTGCAAAAGAACCGTATATTCAGAGAGCAATTCCTTTTGCTGCCTTACTTTTCATAGAACAGACACGTTTGGAGATTGTTCCAAGTACAGAAAGCTGAGAAATGAGGAAATAATTTTTGTAATTATAGGAGTTGAACTTAAAAGCTGTTTATGAGCAGCTTATGTATTTGCTCTTAGAGCTACGTACTTCCTGAACACAAAATTATACTAACAGAAAAATGGAAGTACCCTTGAAATTTTACCTTCCAAACCAGAAGTAGATTTAGGTGGGGAAAATCACCGATGAAACAAAATTTTGTAGCCATCCTGTCTTTTTGCAGCCACGGGGGTTTTTTTCCCCCCACTTTCACAGATCGAAACTGGAGATTCAGGACTTGAAGAACAAAATTCTTTCCTAGGTAGTTCCTTTGTGCCCTCTAGTGACTGACAGCAAGAGACACTCTGGTTAGCTTTAGATGCACACAATATATTCAAGGTTTACCTTAAAACACACACTAGATTTCATTCAAGGTGAAGCATCAGATTGATTCTTTCCTACACAATTCATTTACTAGGCAAGAAAGTCCCCTGCAGCTGGATGTAATAATGTGGCTGCCGCTTTTCTGAAAAAGCCAGACCTGGCTTTAAAACATTCACCTGCCACTTCAGCTTCAGGTAGGAGTTAAGCTTGTGTGCACATAATTTTGAAGAATGAGGATCCTGAAGCGTCAGAGCGTTACAAGCCTCTCATCCTTCTAGAAAGTGCCTGTTTATCAGCACTTAAACTTTTAAGAAGAGTTTGTCTTCTGTTGACCCCAGAGATACTTAAAGCAGTGCTGGGACTGGTGGCAAAACACTGGAGACACTGTGGGCTTTTGCCAGATTTTTAGCCTTCCTCGATCCCATCCTGTGCTGGGCTCAGGAACACACTCCGGTTCCTAGATGTAAAGGTGATCCCCGAGTACTTCAAGGCAAGGGCAACCTAGGTGAAAGCTGTCCATCTGAAGTGGCAAACCAAGCTGCTAACTCAGAAACCCACGTGGGCCAAAGAAAGTTCCGGAATTCACTGCCAGATTGCACAGAAACAGTAACTTGGAGTGGTTATTTGTGGGTAAGGCAGTACAAGGTTTAAGTTCCATTTTCACAAAGAGACCAAGAAAAAGTCTGTTGCCCTGTTACATTCCTACAAGTTTACCAGACAACAATATCCAAAAGTCATTACAAACAGATCTAACTCCATGTGCTCTTCAATTCTCAGGGTCAAAAATAACAAGTGACCCCAATCTGTCAAGAAAATAAGAACTGTCAAGTTTTTTGATAGTTCAGCATAAATATTTATAGAACTTCATGCTTCATAACACTCCATGTCCTTATATTAGCTTTTTATTCCTTAAAAATATGGAGACAGGAGGAAAGCTTTAAAAAGGCTCGGATGAAAACAATCTAGTCAATCAAGACCAGACAAAGAGCACGGCGTGGCTTCCTGACATCTGGGGTGCTGCAGTTTTGGCAGGAGAAGGGTGGCTACAAAGTAATGTCTCCATTTCCCCCGGACTACTTGGGGTGCATTTCATTTCAAATTAACTTTGATGTTTCTCCCATTTGAATTTGCGCTTACAAGGGAGTCTGTGGCTGCACAAGAACAAAAACAGTGATTACGTTGTGCTGTTATGAAAGGAAATAAAGGTTCGTGTCACCCGGGCTGCGCTGTCAGATTGGCTCCATGGGGCACTTCTGGAACTAAAAAAAGCCACGAGCTGCCACTGCCAACATCAGACTGAACGGCGACATTTTCGCTGTGCACCTGAACTTACAGCGTATTACCTTATTTGTTCCTACATGTGTACCTTACTATCAATAACAATCCAAGCAGTCTTTTGATGTCAAACACAGGTCTCTAAAGGGAAGTATGCAAGATTAAGTTCACATGTATCTTATTATCCTACAAGGTTAAAAAAAAAAAAAGTAACAACCTAGGACAGATGGGTGCAGAAAAATTTCAATTCTATTACAGCCAGACCTCAATCACTGCAGCACCTTCCAGGTAACGCTGCCAAAGTTAAAAGAACACATCTCCACAGTTTGCTTTCTTAGCTACATATGTTCTAGCAGCACCAGTGTGATAACACAGCACCAAGCGAATTCATACTTAAATTTTCAGACAACTGAAAGCTATAAGCAAATCGCATGAGCAAGGGTAAAAGATACAACTGTGCAGCTGCTCCGCAGTAACTGTCCACGCATCTGTTTTTACCTGCATCGACTACTAGATAAATAAACATGGAAGACAGACAATAATGTGACCTCACACAATGGAAGCCCATTCACCTCCCTAATTGCCAAGATCCCAGGAAGAAATTGCTTTTTAATCTCTTGGCTGTTCACACAGATGTAGCCTGTTGCTTGCCACAGAAGAGCACAATACAGCCTGCCAAACTCAGGCCACTCCTCATGCATCCTACCTGTCTTGGGGATGACCTTGTGGCAAATTAGCTCTGTCAAACATCTGCACAGCCAGCCATGGAGAGGGTAGGGCAGAGGGCCCTCAGCTACCTCAGCCAACATTAAGGCATCGGACAACAGCACTGTGTTGCTAGAGGCCATGCTCATTTTTCCAAACAAGCTCTGGAGCCAGGAGTTATTCCCATCTTTTGATGGAAGGAGAAAGACAAAATCAAGATCCTACAGACCAAGTTCAGGGGAAAAATGGGTGCTGCCCTATAAGCTCCTTCGGTATTTACCAGGTCAGGTAATACAATTCTCCAGTTTTCAGACTTTCTCCACCATGTCAATGCACATGTATACATACCATAAGGGCAGGAATACACTAACACTGAAACAAAAGGCTCAAGGATTTTTAGTTTTAAGCTTTAACAAAACCCAATTTTATAGCTACAAGCAAAGCTATTATTAGTTTACAGAGCAGGTATGCAGAAATGACAATATTAGCATCTATTATCTTTCCAGCCTTTTAATACTATAACCGACTCTGTAAAAAAAGAGTACTGAATCTCAAAATCCTTGTCTTAAATCATTACTGGAGTCACCCTTTGACCTGGTAATTAGACACAAACCTAAGTGCATTTTTAATTTACTGACTTGCATTAGCCAGTTAGGGACAAAAGCTAAAAATAGGTAAATGTTAACAAAATAGTCCTATGTATTGCTAAGACAGTATATCTTTCAATTAACTGAAGGTAATTTTTTTCCTCTGCCAGTTCAGGGAAAGGTGTTTTAACTTCTGGATACTCTTTGCATACATCAATGCTGCCATCTCCTGGTCAGATTCATGTTGGAACCAGACTTCCCTAGTTGTTCTGAGCGATGTCTTGACTGGTCGTGAAGAATGACCAGTGCAATTAAAGTCTCAAAAGTGCCTTGAAGTCAACACAAAGTGTTTTTATATATACTGATTTAAACAGTTTGTTTCAGTATATCCGAAATCTGTTCCTACGTGGCTGTAGCTAACAGAAAATAAGGTCTGCTGCAAATAGCACTAGGAGCCTGCAGAAAGCCTTTTGCATGGGCTCACCTAAGTTTATTGGAAACACGTTATCTTAAAGCACTAACTTCTGCATGGGGGCCAATCCTACTTAAAGCTGGAGCAGCTGTTCAGAATTAGGCAGTACTCATCCAATTCCTCAGCATAAGGCTACCGAGCATTTTTCTCTAGACAATAACACAAGACACATAATAAAAAAGAACAAAGATGGGATAGCCCTGCTTATAAGGGGGTTCGGTGGAAGTAGGTCATCCAAGCCTTGATGATTCAATAGACAGGGAACTGCGAAACCTACAAGATATACACAGCTCACTGCTCATTCAGAGGAACCAGCAGCAAACACTGCCTACTGTGAAGATGGCTGAAGAAAACTCCCAACCAAAAGGAGATTTTTTTAATTTTTTTTTAATGATTTTGTGGTTAACGTGACAAAGAATCTGAAGTAGCTGTTTGGACTAGAAAGAACCCATTGCATTGCCACTGCAAATTCTGGAGTAAGCACTTATCTGCAAACCACTATGAATCACTTCTAGTTCACTAGCAGGTCCTTTGCTCCTCTGTCCAGTATGTTCTGCCCTTTAGGCAAAGCCAAACACTAGACAGTGAGAACATCTTCAGAAAAGAGCAAAACTCCTCCTGGTCTTCAGAGCTATATTATTGTCCAAATATTAACATATCCTATTTAGATTAACAGCCTTTTGCTTCCATCCTTTGTGCTCCAGGCTAACCATTTCTACATGACTGGTTTTATAGGATTTAGTAGAGAATCAAAGATAACGTGCATTTGTTTTTAGGCACCTGTATTACAGTTTGACCACAAACATTGCAGGCAGATATGTGCATCATATGTACCCAGAAACATGTGAAAGAGGACAGAGCATGAATTACAGTTGCTGTTAAGGGCTTATGCTGGGTATTTAAATTGGGTTGATGAATGGCAGGTTTTTCTCAGAACCAGGGACACAGCTGGTACAACACTATTACCAGCTTTGTACCTCTAAGGAGAGAAGCTTGAGAAAGCATTTCCTTATGCAGCTGGGCATGCACCTTGCACAGCTAATGATCTGAATCACAGTCTTAAAAGCTCCCACAACCATACAGTCTGAACACTTCTTATCTTTAGTAAGAGACAGATATTACCCATGCTCTTAGGACAGGCTACTGAAGAGCAAAGACTAAGAGCCCATTCTGTTAAGATGCAGGCACCTGATGTGCTCCTGGCTAACGAGCTGATCTATTCTGTGCACTAACCTGAGCTTGGGTGAGGATCAAAACCAAAGTTTTTCCAGTTAGTAATTAGCCAGCCATTCTGCTACAAGGCAGGAGAAGAGTAATCTGAGGACAGAGAACCATTCTGGAATACATTAGTGGCTTGTGATTTAGGAACCTGCTTCAGTGACTCTGAGCAAATCTCTGGCTTGCATAGCTAAGCCTGCTTTGAAAATTGGGTACAGAAACATGTGGTAAGCTCCAGAAAACTTTTCTGTGTTGCAGCTTTAAGCCCTTTAGAACAGTTTCT